CAAGCTGGAATAACCATGTCTTAAGGGCGCGGCGGAAGGAAGGGAGATCAGGGATCACCCTGATCTCTGGGGGCAGTTCGTTCCAGAGGGTGGGAGCTCCCACAGAGAAGGCCCTCCCCCTTGGGGTCGCCAGCCGGCACTGTCTGGCTGACGGCACCCTGAGGAGACCCACTCTGTGGGAGCGTACAGGTCGATGGGGAGTAACACTTAAAAAATGTTGAGGTGACATGTTTAGCTGTAATGTGCGATCTCACCAACAGAAGAAGTGGTTTCCATAGGCACGTTTCATGTTGCTGCAGCACCAATGGGTCAAGCATCAATCAGATTCAGCATAGTCTGTAATATGTCCAAGGATCCCCACCCACCCATGACTTCCCTTATTCCTGGCCCTGAATCTCTCGGTTAACTTCATCTTCTTCCATTTCACAGGACCCCTAAATCTAGCTATGAACCATCTTACGATAAATAAGCCAGCGAACACCTCCAAAGTGCCATATCACCTCCTGCTCATATAAAAGCCTCTGTGCACATCAGCTTGAGTACAGACATAGACACAGACTCGTTTTCCGTTTTTTTAATTTCACAAATCTCTATTAACATGATCTACTAAGACAACAATGGGAAAATGGAATTATAAATGCAATTAATGATGGTTGAACTTTAATTGTACTCATTCTTTTTTTAAAAAAAAACTATCCCTATTTTTTTTTATCACAATTATCCTTCCAGATGCGGTAATTGAGCAGAGAGGCAAACGCTAACCAAGCTATGTATGGATACATCAAACATGCTGCAGTTTTGTTCACATGATACCAAGACACTGTTGTAGCCGTTGCTGCTCCTGTAGTGAGTAATAGAACGTATAGCGCCTGAAACAGAAAAATAAAGATGTATTTACTCTTGAACTAAAAGTAAGAAAGAACAGCATTACGTTTATTTTGTCGCCATCCTCTCCTAGCAGGTAGCATTAACTTGGTCATTACTGGCTCCCCCAATGGATGGACACAGCTAGGACAAGGGAAGCCGAGACAGCAGCCAATTTAAGTAAAGACCAGTAGGAGGTGACAGTGAGAAATTTGGGCTGGTCCCAGAGAGGCTGTTTGGGGACTTTGGTCACTCACTTATTCTCTCCCAACTCAATCCCAGAATGGTTGCGGGAAAGAATGGAAGAGACAGTGCTGCTTCGAACTCCTGGAATTCCACCAAAAAAAATCTGTCAATGAGGCAAGAGGGTATAAAATTGAAAGCCAGCTGGAAGCAACCAAAGAATTGAATAGGAACTGCCTTTTGCACTGGATGGAAAGCCTCAAGGGGCATCGAGTCAGCGAATGCACACCACTGCTTGTACTAAAACAATTCATCATCTGCTGGATTACAAACAGGTGGCCCCTCATTCCCACTCCNCACTTTATGAAGCCTGAGTAATATCACACTTAAAATACTGCATCCAGTTTTGGTCACCATATTATAGAAAAGATGTAGAGACTCTGGAAAAGAGTGCAGAAAAGAGCAATAAAGATGATTAGGGGACTGGATACTAAAAGACATGAAGAACGGTTCTACTCGTGAAGGACTCAGGATGTGTACTTGGGATTTTAAATTCCCACCAGATTTAACAAACGAGAGAGACAAATGCAACAAACCCATGCTGTGTGACTCAGGAAAAAACATGTCAGCAGTATCTGGTAGTATTAGAGTATTACTAATACTAGTATTAGAGCCAGTTTGCGCTAGACTATGTCTTTTTTTTTGTCTTACATTTTCTATCCTATTTTATTAAATAAACAAAAGAGGGGGAGATGGCAGTGATATGTACAGTACTGAGAATGCAAGCTTAGACTAGGATGAGTGAACAAAGGTATTTTCTATAGCTCTATGTTCTACTTGAACACTGGCCTGGAGTCACAACTTTCAGACCCAAACTTGCCCAAATTTCATTTTAAATTCCTGCAGTAAGTTATTCCACTTTGCTTACAACTGGACTAATTTTTAAAGCAAGGTAGTGAATGTTAAAGCAGCAAGATTAAATTGACTATTCCAGGCTGTTATAAGGAGTCCACAGGGAAGTCATCAAGAGGGCGATTACATCCATGAGATCAACGTTCTGGCTTTTTGATGTGCTGACATGCGTGGATGGGGCTTTGATGGCCTAACTGTGGCTATTTTGTTTTTCCGATGCCCTTGCCAATCCCCCCTAGGCTGTTATGACAAACCAACAATACATTTATTTATTTATTTATTTTTATTTATTTAAATTTATATCCCGCCCTTCTCCTTGCGGACTCAGGGCGGCTGACAATCAGGTAAAAATACAAAAATAACACTACAAATTTAAAAATTAGTTAAAAGGGAAATATTTGAATTTGGTCAAATTAAAATATAATTAAAACCCCCTCTAAAAGTTTCCCCTAGGCCAGTCCCGCAAGCTGGAATAACCANAAAAAAAATCTGTCAATGAGGCAAGAGGGTATAAAATTGAAAGCCAGCTGGAAGCAACCAAAGAATTGAATAGGAACTGCCTTTTGCACTGGATGGAAAGCCTCAAGGGGCATCGAGTCAGCGAATGCACACCACTGCTTGTACTAAAACAATTCATCATCTGCTGGATTACAAACAGGTGGCCCCTCATTCCCACTCCTCCAGAAACGACTTGTACAACCTCACAAGCTTTAGTAAATTTCAGGTGTACATTTCCCTGCTTCTCTTAGTCGATCTGTGTATATAGAAAAAGGTGCTTTGGGAGATACATTAAAACTGCCATGTCCTTTAGAACATAGAACATGGAATAACCGAAGGGACCTTGGAGGTCTTCTAGTCCAACCCCCTGCTCAAGCAGGAGATCCTATGCCATTTCAGACAACTGGCTGTCCAGTCTCTTCTTAAAAGCCTCCACAATGGGGCACCGCACCCATGACTTCTGAAGGCAAGGCATTTCACTGATTAATTGTTCTCACTGTCAGGAAATTTCTCCTCCGTTCTAGGTTGCTTTTCTCCCTGGTTAATTTCCATCCATTATTTCTTGTTGTACCTTCTGGTGCTTTGGAAAATAGCTTGATCCCCTCATCTTTGTGGTTGCCCCTCAAATATTGGATCACTGCTATCATGTCTCTTCTGATCCTTCTGTCACTAAACTAGACATACCCAATTCTGGCAACCATTCTTCATAAGGTGCTTTTTTGGGGAGGCAAATGGACTTTCTTATTTTTCTTTGAAAACATTTCGCTTCTCATCCAAGAAGCTTCTTCAGCTCTGACTAGATCAAGGCTTTTCAACCAGTGGTATGGGTACCACCTGTGGTACATTGGCACCTGGCAGGTGGTACGCGACCATCCTAGAAAAGTGGTAGCAGGGGAGGGGAATGAGCTGAACCAGTGGCAGCACCGCACAAGCCTGAGTGAGAGATGGCTGGAGCTGCAGGGCTGTCAGGGCTCAGTGGAAGCGCCAGGATCACCGCCTGGCTCCAGCTGGAGCTCGGCGCTGATCCTGGTCCTTCTGCTGAGCCCAGAAGAAGCGCCGATCAGCTGGAATGTTGCAGCATCTCCAGGGTCTTGTGATTTACATTCAGATGCTTGGCAACTCATTCATATTTATGACGGTCACAGTGTCCCAGGGTCATGTGAAGTGACCAAAACCTGCTGCAACCACCCAGCAGACAGGAGGAATAAAAACCAAACACCCCCCACCAATCCACTACCAATCTTCAACAGAAATGCTCACAACAATGAAAACCTCAGACAGGAGGAAGAGTGCCGCAAGATGGTCAGGTGTCTTGCTCGGCTGTGGTTTGGGGGGCACTTTTTTCAGTGCCATTGTAACTTCGAATAGTCACTAAGCGAACTGTTGTAAGTCGAGGACTACCTGTACTTTATCACTTTTTTCCTTTTTTTGGGGGGGGGTCATCAAATTTTTGACACCTTGCTAGGCGACTGGTGGTACTCGTATGTTGCCATATCCTAAAAGTGGTACAATGGGTGAAAAGGTTGAAAAGCCCTGGACTAGATGGTGAGGAATGGAAGGATTTATATTCCTTGCAGACAGCTGGTTATTTACATTCTTTTAGAAAGTCATTGAAGCCATTTGGAGGTTTACCTGTGTACTCAGAGTCACCTAAGTAGTGCAAATGTGTGTGGAGCCTTCTTGGCTGCAGGATGTTTTCTGCCCTGTGTCCCTTCACTGTTGAAGGCAGGTGCAGACACAGACTCATCCCCAACAGTCTGGGCCTCCACAAGTTCGGGAAAGGGAGCAGTGGCATCTCCAGGAATGTTGGACAATTAAAGCAGTTGTACAAAACTGAGGACAATGCATCACAGTTTGGATTTTACAGTAATAACCGAGAGTTGTGTTTGTCTGCAAAGCATTAATGGGGATCTAATTAAGCCCATCAACTGCTTCAGACCAGCTTTCCCCTGCCTGCTGAAGTCATAAGCAGAAACTTTTTAGAAATTGGGGCTTCCATGAAGGACCTTTCAATGGACGAAAACCTCACCCTCTCCTTTAATCCCAAGCCAAAGATTTCATCCTGCCTGGGAGGGCAGAGACATTCAGGGCAAGGGAAAAGGGAGCCAAATGCAAACTCAGCGAGGGCAAAGAATAGCTTAATATTCACGCATTTATATCTTTTATTTCATTATACCTTACGTGATTCTTAGTGGTCAACAACCATTATTAATATACCTCAAACAAATGCCTAATCATGGAATAATGTGATTGTTATGAGGTAAATGAAAAATACCATTAAAATATTGGAGAAATATTTACTGCATTAGCAGAAGTTGTGTGTTGCAGGCTTTAAACAAATAATAGGAATTGGCTGAGTGTGATAAACTATGTGTAACTCTATTAAGAAACATTTTACAAGAAGTGTCAACCGAAAGTCACAGATGGTGTAAGATAATACCCGTGTCGAGCAATGTGGTAAGATAGCCTATTTCATGAACTTCTCTTTTCCAATGTGTAAACTTTAGATATAAACTTCTCCCTTTTTAGTGTGTTAAAAGTAGATACGAGTCATCCTGTGGGTGAAGCATAGGTGACAAGCTGTATAAGAATGATGCCCTGGGAGTAGCCCGGGGTTCAGAATTTGTCATGCGAATGCTCTGAACCTTTGCGCAAATAAACCTGTTTTCTCCAACCCTTCGTGGTCTTGTCATCTGAAGTAAGTATTGAGGTTTCTACTACAGTTAAGTGTCAGCCAGAAGGTTGTTACCAATGCAACCATTGTCACTTCTATCAGAAGGCTGATATCCAGAGAGTTGTGGTCATCCTGAAGAAGGAAAGAACACCTTCAAGACTCCTCCCTTCCCCAAAACAGGGTAGTAAATATTGTATTTCTACCAATCAAATGGCTGATATTTCCAACCGGAAGACCTTGTTACTTTATGTAAATAGTAACTCTCTGAATATGGAGATTCATTTAAGTACCTGACTAATAACATTCCACCACATTTGTCCCTATCTTCAGACTTCCCCTTATGAGGGGTCCTTGGTGCTCTCTGAGCTTGGTTGTTTTCTTGTGGACGTTTCCTTACCCAGATAATATTATTAGGATTAGCACTAATGATGTTACCTAGTTTAGGTAAATGAAACATCTGCAACCAAGCTCAGAGAGCATCAAGGACCCCTCATTTCAACCCTGAGCTACAAATATTTTCCTTTACTAGTTTCCCCTTATGATCCTAAATCCTAAAAGCAATACTACAGCTAGCAATCTTCCATCATTGTCCCTTGGGTTAATTTATCAAAGCAGCCCACTGCCATTTATTGCACACTTTTCAAGCAAATACTGTAGTTCAAGTGTTCTATTTTTCCCCTAAAAAAAACAGTACAAGACAATTTTTAAAAATCCTATCTATATATTAAATGAATGTTGAATCTTCCTGGTTGTAGGAAGCCTAATGATTGCTTAGGCCAGGGGTCGGCAACCTTAAACACTCAAAGAGCCATTTGGACTCGTTTCCCACAGAAAAGAAAACACCGGGAGCCACAAAACTCTGCTGCTCCCCCCCCCACAGCACTCCCCTGCTCCACCACTGCTGCTGCTTACCCCCCTGTGCAGAGCGCCCTCCTGCTGCTGCTTTCTCCCCCTACCTCCCCCACCCTGCCGCCGCTTTTCCCTCCTACCTCCCCCATCCTGCTGCTGCTTTTCCTCCTACCTCCCCCACACAGAGTGCCTTGCCACTGCTGCTTTCTCCCCCTACCTCCCCCACCCTGCTGCCGCTTTTCCTTCCTATCTCCCCCACGTGGAGCACCCTGCCGCTGCTGCTTTCTCACCCTACCTCCCCTGTGTGGATCGCCCTGCTGCCACTTTTTCTTCCTACCTCCCATCCTGCCACCACTTTTCCTTCTACCTCCCCTGCGTGGAGCGCCCTGCCGCTGCTGCTTTCTCATCCTACCTCCCCTGCATGGCACGCCCTGCCGCTGCTTTTTCTTCCTACCTCCCCCGCGCTGAGCGCCCTGCTGCCGCTTTTCCTTCCTACCTGCGCCGAGCGCCCTGCTGCCGCTTTTCCCTCCTACCTCCCCCGCACTGAGCGCCCTGCTGCCGCTGCTTTCCCCAGCAGAGTTTCGGAGGCAGCAGCAGGGCATAGCCGAGGCATGGCCCAGCAGCAACGCTCATCCTCCTCACTCAAGGTGCAGCAGCAGGATTGCTCTCAATAAGGCGGGCGCACAGGAGCGAGCACCGCACCCGGCTCTTATTGTTTGAGAGCAATCCCGCTGCTGCGCCTCCGCTTTTTTCAACCATGATCCCTCCTTCCCAGCCAGCCAGCTCTTCATGAATTTAACATGGACATAAAAATGTTTCACCACCTTTATCAATATTACAAAGAAAAGTTTTAAGAATTTTAATTGTGCTTGATCAGGTTCACTAGTTTTCCTCCAGTCACTCTCTTTGCATCTCTTACCGACTTCATCACCCTCTGAAAGCCAGAGTACACAACGATGCACACTCATAGAGAGGATCCTGCAATCTAATCTGAGCTGTCACAACCTTTCATTCCAGCACGATTATAGCAGGTTATTCTCTTTCTCTCCGTCTCTCTCTCTCATTACAGTGTTCTCTGTTTTTCAAATATGTTTATTAAGGATTATAAATGAAAAGAGTAAAACCCTTACTCCTGCATCCCAACAGGTAAAAACAATTTTAGAAGCTTATCTACCATCTTTAAATACAGCATAATTATCCCCATACCTCATCTCTTAATTTAAAAAAAGATCAAAATATTTCATTAAACGTTCTTTACTAAAAGTCCAGTAAGGACAACCACATATATTTTGTTTGTCTGTCTGTCTGTCTGTCCGTCCGTCCGTCCGTCCATCTGTCTCTCTCCCTCCCTCTCTCCCTCCCTCCCTCTCCTTCTCTCTCTCTTTCTCTCTCTCTCCATTATATCATTTAGCTCTGATAAAATAAGCCACATTTATGTCTTCCCTGAATTTCTAAAGATAGTGATTAACTGCTTCAAAAACAAAACAAAAAACTAGCTTGCTGTTCATCTGTTTCAAAACAAAAACCTTTCAAATTTTAAAAGAAAATATTTTGTAAATCCAATAATCCTTCATTTATCATTTCTCATGCAGTTTTTTTGCTCTCAATAAGGCGAGCAATCCCGCTGCTGCGCCTCCATTTTCTTCAACCATGATCACCCCTGCCCAGCCAGCCAGCCACCATCACCGATCTTCTCCTCATGATCCCCTCCTCCCCAGCCAGCCAGCCACCATTGCCGACCTACTCCTCACTTGGCCAGCTGGCCTCACTCTCTCCCCCTCCTCCTCCTCTTCCTCCTCCTCCTCCTCCTCGCGAGATCTTTTTTTTTTGTGAGAAGTTGGAATTGATTGATTGAACTTTTTTAGTCCCACTTCTTATTTTGGGGGGCTGCAAATGGTGGAGGAGGACTGGGAGCCACAGTAGAGGGATGAAAGAGCCGCATGCAGCTCCAGAGCCGCGGGTTGCCGACCCCTGGTTTAAGCATTACTATGGTAGACAAGCCATTGTATTTTAAAAGTCAGGTTTGCCACAACCATTCCTCTATAATATACAGAACATACTTAGCGTTATTAGTAGCATTTGAAAAGTGTAATTTGAACGAAGGGCCAGAAGGTTTATTTATTTAAAAAAGGAAACTCAGTTGGCCCAAGCTCTGCAATAAATAGCAATTATTGTGGCACATAAATTATTGTATGTTGTATTATCCTGAAACACACACCCCCCCCGCACAACTCAAGGCTCCTGAGCCAATGACACGTACAATGTGCATATATTTACAGAACTTACCAATTCTATTTTGTGTTGTCCAAAAAAGATAGGTGTCCATGACCAGTTTAAGGCTAACTGTCCCACATACAGCCCAAGCGGAGCAAAGGACTTTTCATTGAAACCTCCCAAGTCCCTCCATACCAGGTAAGATCCATATCTATAAGGGTGGAAGATATAGTCAGAAAATAAACTAGATTTGGGGATTTTTAAGACTAACAACAAACTTGCAGTTTAAATCGGTGTATTTACGGTACTGAAATCATTTGGAATATACGTCAGATATTTCCATTTTTTTGTCTACAACTCATTAGAAAAATACTGGTATCATATTTCTCTCTCCACAATCCTAATCTCCAAGCTCAGTTCTGTTCCTGTACGTAAAGTACTCCTGCAATTTCCATAATAGCCAAGTTAATCATGACCATGGCATTTTCCTGGGGCCCACTTTTTAATCTATGGAGTCTAAGTTCTGGGATTTCATTGATTTTCCAATTAAGCACTAATTAAGCCCCAACTATTTTTTCAAGATCAGCCAAGATCAAAGGCACCCTCAAATCAAGCTCAACTGGTGCTTGCATAAACCTCTGCAGGCAGTGGTATAGAACTCATTTCCCACAACCTCCCAGTCTAGCTTAGTAGTTTTCCATCCAATATTAAATAGGACCAGCTCAGTTTAAGATTTTTGAGATCAGCCTAAATCAGCTAGATGCTATCAGCTGAGCCAGGCTTTTACTTGGGTAGGGTGAGAAGTGCATTATCTAGGATTTCAGCTAAATATAGAAGCTGAAAAATGGAGCATTTTGAACTGGGATCTCCCCTAAAATGTGGCCTTGATGCATATATTTAATCCTTATACAGATGTTAACATGAAATTATTATTCTACAAGTACTGTAAGAGGAGATATCCTACCTAAAAAACAATGAAATTAATTCTCTTTTAGATGACACTGTTTCATTTCCCCCCCCCTTCAGATGGTGCTGAAAGATGCATTTTAAGACAGAAACAACCACTCTGAGAAATGAAGAATTTTTCCTCTGTTTCACTTTCAAACCCAAGATAATCTCCCATTGAAGTTGTTGTTGTTATTGTTAGTTGCGAAGTTGTGTCCGACCCATCGCAACCCCCATGGACAATGTTCCTCCAGGCCTTCCTGTCCTCTACCATCTTCTGGAATCCATTTAAGCTCACCCCTACTGCTTCAGTGACTCCATCCAGCCACCTCATTCTCTATCGTCCCCTTCTTCTATTGCCCTCAGTCTTTCCCAGCATTAGGCTCTTCTCCAGTCAGTCCTTCCTTTTCATTAGGTGGCCAAGTATTTGAGTTTCAACTTCAGGATCTGGCCTTCTAAAGAGCAGTCAGGGTTGATCTCCTCTAGGACTGACCGGTTTGATCGCCTTGCAGTCCAGGGGACTCACAGGAGTCTTCTCCAGCACCATAGTTCAAAGGCCTCAATTCTTTTGCGCTCAGCCTTTCTTATGGTCCAACTTTCAAGAATGGTTTTCTTCTTGAAACTCCTAGCATTCAGGGATTGTTGGTTAATACTTTAATGGGAGACTACTATTCCAGGAAATCCCGGGACTCTAGATTAGACTGCCACAAAACACCCAAGCAAGCAACTTGGATGTATTCACTAAATCAGCAACATTTGAGTTTATCTCAAAGGGGACTTGACTTTTTACACACTAAGAAAATAATTTGCATCTGGATTAAAGGAAGGACCTGTAACAGAGACTTACCCAAAAATGAAGTGAAAAAAAAGTGAAAGAAAACATAGTAACAACCCTTAAAATTTCAGAATTAAAATCAGAATAAAGAGGCAACAGAAGGCAACAATTATGCAAAGAACTTAAGGAGATCTAAAACCAAAATGCCCGGCACTGAAAAAAAGTTCAAAATGAGTCCTGCTTGAGATGAGGCATCCTGCGACTCAAGTAACCTGTCATTTGGGTCTCTTCATCTGAACATTTGGGCAAGAAAACATGGAAGGAAAAGTAATTGGCAATGTTCTGACTCCAAACTATTCAGGATGATGCAATTCCCCAATGTGTCAATTTAGTATTGTCACTTGTAATTACTTGTTTTTTCCTTGACTGCTACTTTACCCCTTGGTGAGTCTCCTAGGGTGACTATGTTGACCTACTAATTTGTTTAATTGAGTAATTAAATGAATAGCAGCATCTTGAACTTACCTCAGTCTCAATTAAAAGCCAAGACGGCTGGCTACTGTTATTGCCGGGCCTGATATCCATTAACCACGTGCACAGAAATTTTAGAAGTTGCCCTGTAATTAACCAAACAAAAAAAATTGCTTACCCCATTGCTGTATATAAAGTTACCCACGCAGGTCCAAACAACCAGTTTGGTGGACGCCAAGGTGGCAGTTTCAGGGATCTGTACCAGTTCATTTCCCTCTTGACTATTGAGGCTGTCAAAAAACCCCCTATATTAGGCAAGAGTGTGAAGCCAACAGCTGGGATCCAGGATGAAACGATTTCCATTATGGCTCCTGAGATGAAGGCACCTAGAAAATTGAATGAAAACAGATTTTGCCAGTGTTTTTTTTGTAAAAAAAAAAAAAAAGTGCCAGAACTCACACATGTCATACAACCCGCCTTGCCTACCCTACAAGGTTTACCTTTGTAGTTGGAAAAAAAAAACCCTTCCATTTTTAGTGTATCTAAAAGACTAGGATTTTGTTCAAGGTAAGTTAATACTATTAATGTTACCATGCACTGTGTGGCTTTAAATTACAAGAAGGCATTTTATTAATCTTTTGGGACATTTACCACTGGCATACCCATTTAGTTTAATGAGCGGAAATGTCAGCTTTTTATGCGGGATGAAATTGGCCCAATAAAACAAAAGTTGGTTGCTTGTAAAAGATTGAATTATTTTTAAGACATCGTCAAACAAGGTGGTAAAAATTTACATTTGGAGTTTAATATGGATATTGACTTGAAACAAATTAAAGTTGAAACTTTGTCAGTGAACAGATTACTTTTCATTTACCTTTAAGTTAAACCCAATTTAATAAATAGATCTGATTAAACCTCATACTGTAGGTCTACCTTGACATCTGACCAATACATAATTAATATATATTATTATTATTAATAAAACCTCCAAATAACAAGACATTGGCTTTATTCTTATTCTTCCCCTCTGCAGTTTGAATATAAAGCAGGAGTCTTCAAAGTCGGCCCTTTTATGACTTGTGGACTTCAACTCCCAGAATTTCTCAGTCAGGCATGCTGGCTGAGGAATTCTGGGAGTTGAAGTCCACAAGTCGTAAAAGGGCCAACTTTGAAGACCCCGGATACAAAGTATAAAAGACTAAAAAGAGATTTTTAATCTCACACCCCACCTCCTGTAAGGGAAGGCAAAAGGCTCACTGACCCTCTCGTGAAAGAGGGCCTCCATGTTTATGTGTCTCCCAGTGCCACCATCGGCTCCCACCACACCAATCAAGCCACGCTCTAGCTATGGTGCTCCAGCGTCTCATGGTTCCTCCTAGAGGAGGAAGACAGCGCCGGGGGGGGGACCCCGCTAGCACCGTACCACCGGTGGGGCATTTTCAAAAGCAAACGAGGATACGAAGGGCAACAATAAAAAAGAACGCAATTCTGGAAAATCTGTTGAAAAAGGTCCCGGAACTCTGTTCCGGTGCATTCTATGACAAAAAAAAAGTCCTGGATTTTGCAAAATACAATTTCCAGGAAAATCCAGGAAAACAGCACATTGAAGAAAGACTTAGAATCTGTTTCACTGCCTAAGCCCTGGGCCAGCAGGATATGTCTAGAGCAGGGGGTCTTCAAACTTGGCCCTTTTATGACTTGTGGACTTCAACTCCCAGAATTCCTCAGCCAGGCATGCTGGCTGAGGAATTCTGGGAGTTGAAGTCCACAAGTCATAAAAGGGCCAAGTTTGAAGGCACCTGGTCTAGAGCACTCCAATACACAATCTTTGTGCTGCTTCTGAATACTAGGATCCCATGTCAGCATCACTGTTCATCACTGGAATCAATGTGTTCCTGACTCAGCTGGAGTGTATCTTACACTGCCTCTTTTGGGAGATCCTCAAGCTCTGCAAGACTCATGGGCAGCCTGTTTTCTTAGCTTCCTTGTTCTTGAACTTTCTCAGCAAGATTTGGCCATTGCAGCATCTTAGCAAGAGAACATCTTGGCAGTTTTCCCCTCATAGCCATTGTTCAGATTCCTTGAGGAATTAAAAAAAAATGGATAGGAATGGGGCACTGAGTACTGATTTACTTTCCAGTTTATCAGCTAAAGGGAGTACTAACTGATTGATCACTGGTCGCAATGGAATTGCGCAAAGGCCTGGAGACTAAAACATATGAAGAACGGTTGCAGGAACTGTATATGGCTAGTCTAGAGAAAAGAAGGACTAGGGTGACATGATAGCAGCATTCTAATATTTGAGGGGCTGCCACAAAGAGGAGGGGGTCAACTTATTTTCCAAAGCACCAGAAAGCAAGACAAGAAACAATGGATGGAAACTAATCAAGGAGAGAAGCAAACTGGAATTAAGGAGAAACTTCCTATCAGTGAGAACAATTAACCAGTGGAACAGCTTGCCTTCAGAAGTTGTGGGTACTTCATCACTGGAGGTTTTTTAGAAGGGACTGGACAGCCGCTTATCTGAAATGATATAGGAACTCTTGCTTGAGCAGGGAGTTGAACTAGACATCCAAAGTCCCTTCCAGCTCTATTCTGATTGAATTGGGCAGCAATGGAAATAAAACTGCAGGTTCATTTCAAATGGTTTCTGAGGAATTGAGGAGTCAAAATGGCTGCAGTGTAGATGTATGCTAAGTAAAAAGATATTCTGAAGAGGCAGCGGAAACAATTATGTTGGATTTACTGCCCCCACCCATCCACTGTGTGACCTCTCTATGTCATCATTAAAAATTTTCTACACAACTTTCTCATCTGTATCGAACTGACAATAAGTATACATTAGGACTTGGTGATAATATGAATTCAAAAGAAAAATATATTCAGAATGCTTGTGGGAATATATGCCGCACCTATTAGAAACACCTTATAGTAGCTAGTTCTTGCACCCGGCGGCCGAAGCGCTGGCACAAGTGAGGGGGTGTGCGCACACATGCGTGCACACTGGCCAGCCTGTCCTGTGGCCTGGTGGCCAGCAGGCCATGGCCCCACTACCAGGCCGCGGCCCAAAGGTTGAGGGCCCCTGGTGTAGAGTACCTTGGCTGGTCTCAAAAAAGAAAGGGAAATCACCACGTTCTAAGTTAGACCAAAAAGTTGAAAATATATCCCAGGAGAAGGCAATCACAAAAATACTGTCTTGTTGCCAAAGAACTTACACCATGGTTATAAGCCAAGGTTTATATCCTAGTACTTTGCCTGAGCTCAACATAGTGGCTTCCTGAAAAAGAACATGATTTAATATCCTATATGAACCCAATCATTAATACGAACCAATTCTCAGGGTTACCTAGGGGTATCTGGACATGTTGCATTTGCACCTGAGCAAATTGTGATCTAGGCACACCATGATTATCAGCTCTGTCCAACATATTAACTTTATTAAGATCCCAGCTCCCCTTGAGGAAGGCACACCCTGATGATCAGAAGCTCTTTCCAACATATTAACTTTATTAAGATTCCAGCTTGAGGAATTTTCATTAAATGCTGGAGTGTCAGAGCCATATTTTGCTTTTTTTAATGGTATATCATCTCTTACTCCTAGGGCAAACTATTATTTTGTCCACGTTTCTTAGATATGAATTTGCTGGTGGCAACCTCTCTTTACTGTAATCTGGATCTTGTTCATAATATAAAGTAGGAAGAGTTTATCTAAATCCTTATAAGGTTCATGCAAACAGGCGAAGTTGGAACTGATTGACTGAACTTCTTTAGTCCCACTTCTTTTGTTTGTGGGACTGCCCACAAACTTCTTTTCTTTTTGGGATTGCACGCAGCGGTGGAGGAAGAGATGGTGGACCTGGAAAGAAGGTACCGTGTGGGTCCGATCGGGGGTGTGTGGGGTTCTGCCAAGCATCTTATACGGAGCTGGGGAAATGGGCTGAGTGGGAGGAGGTGCCAATGCCACTGCCATGAGGCTTTGCAGAGCCCCCCAAGTGGCCAGGATCCCCCCTGACGAGCCAGCCAGCCATTATCGTTGACCTTCTCATGATCACCCCTCCTCAGCCAGTCAGCCACTATCGCCGACCTTTCTGCTTTCTTCAACTTGAATGGAGCAGAGCCACCCAAGCCGCTAGCAGCCAATTGAGTGTAGAGGAGGAGGAGGAGGAGGAGGAGAGCGTGAGGCCGGCTGGCCAGGTGAGGAGTAGGTCGGCGATGGTGGCTGGCTGGCTGGGGAGGGTGCGCTCATGAGGAGAAGATCAGTGATGGTGGCTGGTTGACTGGGAAGGGGGGGATCATGAGGAGAAGATTGGTGATGGTGGCTGGCTGGCTGGCTGGGGAGGGGTGATTATGGTTGAAGAAAACGGAGGTGCAGCAGCGGGATTGCTCGCTTTATTGAGAGCAAAAAAACTGCATGATAAACGAAGGATTATTGGACTTACAAAATATTTTTTTATATTTTGAAAGATTTTTTTTTGAAACAGATGAACAGCAAGCTAGTTTTTTGTTTGTTTTTTTTTTGAAGCAGTTAATCACTATCTTTAAAAATGTGGCTTATTTTATCAGAGCTAAATGATATATTGGAGAGAGAGAGAAAGAGAGAGAGAGACAGAGAAAATATATGTGGTTGTCCTTACTGGACTTTTAATAAAGAACGTTTAATAAAATATTTTGATGTTTTTTTAATTAAGAGATGAGGTGTGGGGATAATTATGCTGTATTTAAAGATGGTAGATAAGCTACTAAAATTGTTTTTACCTGTTGGGATGAAGGAGAAAGGAGGGGAAAGTGGCGGCAGGGCGCTCCGCTGTGGTGGAGTGCTGGAGGGAGGGAGCAGCAGGATTTTGTGGCTCCCAGTGTTTGTTTTTTCTGTGGGAAACAGGTCCAAATGGCTCTTTGAGTGTTTAAGGTTGCCAACCCCTGCACTAGTGAGAAGACACTTGGAATACTGTGTCTAGTTCTAATTGTCATGATACAAAAAAGATGCTGAGACCTTAGAAAGAGTGCAAACAAGAGCAACAAAGATGATAAGGCTAAACTGTATAATAAACAATTAAGGAAGCTAAGCCTTAACTAATTGAGAATGTTTAATCTAACAAAGAGAATGCAGGTAAGAGTACCCTTTCTGAGTCAGGAGACCATGCTAGAGTACTGTACAAGGAGTATTTGCAGATGGCTGTGAGCGTTTCCTAAAATACACAGCAAATGTGGGTACACAGCCCCTAGGAAACAATTGTATGAGGACATGCAGGACTCCTGGATGCTTGAGATCTGCGGCAGACTGAAAGCTGACTTCTCCCCATTTCCTTTAGCTGCCCAAACTTTTGACGTATTTTTTGATTGAGAGATTTAAAAGACATGCAGGCAGGCACACCACGATCTTAAGTCACACCTTTCACTGTGAGAGTCAGAGATAGGATCCTGAGGAGGAAAAAGGCTTACCTGCTATCGCTGCCACAGTCCTCCAAGTCTGGGCTGAAGGAGAAGAATGCCTCTCTTACCGGCACTTCAGAAAAATTGAGGTGCAGCTTAGAACGCGCCACATATATATGGGGGCCAATTGCTAGAAGCTATGCCCTTGCACACTGGGGCGGTGCTACCATTATTATTACATCCTTTTTAATCAAACATAATGAAGTCCAATATAAATATTACTATGTAAGTCATAAGTCACTAAATGTTTGCTGTATAAGTCATACATTAAGATCAACTGATGCTTTAGGTATAGAAGTTAAGACACCCTCCCATTGTCTAGGCCAGGGGTAGGCAACCTTGGCTCTTTTATGACTCATGGACTTCAACTCCCAGAATTCCTGAGCCAGCATGGCTCAGCTTGGAAACCTCTCCCTTTTCCCTCAGCATGGCTGGCTGAGGAATTCTGGGAGTTGAAGTCATTAAAGACCCAAGGTTGCCTACCCCTGGTCTAGGCAATTCAGTATAGAAACCTCTAATTCTTTATTCCACTTATCTCTTAACACTTGCATTATCAAATTGCTTTATATCTATAGAAACCTATGTGTTTTTTTAAAGATAGGTTTTAAAAGATTTAACCAGTCCTAGTATACCAGGTATTTGCTCTGAAAATGTTGCTGGTCCAAATAGTATGCTTAACAAATATTGTAGCTATAAATATTGCCACTAAGTTACATCTGATAGATATTTGTCACTTTGCACACCATATGTTAAAAATTCATCCTTGTTGTGTAGCAATTGATCAAATGTCAATTTACTCATTTTCATCTCGTTTTTCAGTATCAGCATCTTTTTTCCCAATTTTTAATGTTGGGAGTTTCCCACAAGCTCTTTTTTATCAGTGATTTGAACTACTTACAAAGTGAACATTTTACCAAATATGGGAAAAATAAAGCAACTGAGAACACCATGTGAATGACTTTAGCTCTTCTGCACTGCTGCCAGGAAGAATATACATATGTGTTTGCAAAGTTGATTCGAACAATGGGAGTCTTTTGCAAAGCTATGCCCATGAAATCTGGCTAGATTCAGTGTTTCTCAACCTTGACAATTTTAAGGCATGTGGACTTCAACTCCCAGAATTCCACAGCCAGCAATGCTGGGTTAGAACATTATGAGATTACCAGGAACTCCCAGAGCTGTAGGCGAGATTACTAAATTGAACCACATCCTTACAAACAGCTGTCATGAAAACAACATGGTTGTATACATGAAGAATCAAGTTTCACTTGGTAAGATATTTTTTTTAGTTCAATTCCATCAACTCGCACCCAATCTTGGTGATTAAATGGACAAATGGTTACTATCTTGGCTTGTTCTTTTCCAGTCTGCAGCTCTTCCAACAGCATTTGATTTCTCTGGTTCAACAAATCCAGATTTCCACTTTCCTCAACTTCCCAATCGTAGGCATTTTTCTACTCTACCAGTTGCTTGCATGTGTGTCCAAAGTATAAGTTTCTAATTGTTGCTTCAAGAGAGCAATCTCTCTCTTAGTCATGAAAGTCAGGTGGGTGGCTTACAGCCAGCCCCCCCC